ATATATTTATTATTTTTATTATACTGAGCTTCCAGCCATGCCTGGCTAACATTACAGAACTTACAATGATGTGCCGCATTTGCCCTCATGTTAAAGTATTCTAGAATATAAAACTGGCCTTTAGATAGCGACCTGTCTTGGCTGCATTTTAGTAGACTAGTATTTTGTAAAATACTGTCACATTTCAGTTATAATACATATGTATATACGTTATTACTATTTACAAATAAGTTCTTAAACTTATTTCTAATAAAACATAGAACAGCAAATAAAGAAGTAAAGCAAACAATTATATTTTCAAATTATGAACTTTGTACTCATTTGCCGCAGGTTGTTAAGCTTTATCAAATTTCAGACAAGGAGGATATGAAATGAAATAATATTTTTTAGGTTTTATATATACATTTGAAATAACCAAAAAATCATAAATTACTATATCAATATCATAGAATTTGGCTATAACTTATCAAGCTCATTAACAAAGCTGTATTTGGGTTTAAAAAATATGAAATTTTGAGCTCACTAAACACTTACCATACCATACCAAATCTTGTATCAAAAGAACGAAATTGACACCCTAATACTTCAAAATGGCTGATTAAGCCACTAGAGGGACATTCTGAGCTTTCGATTGGTTATTCACATTTCATAGACAGAAGTACGTGTACATAAGGAAGTATTTTCCAAAAATGGAAAGAGTACAGTACATGTTCAGTACATGAGCAATACCTCAGCAAATAGAAAAGTTAGGAGGTTCCTATTTTTGATATTCTATTTATATTGTATTTGGACATCACAAACATTAAACTTGACTAATGTATAATACTAAAATCTGAATTATACTCTACAACTGTATAACCAACTGATTAACATACAATAATAAAATAGTAGTTCAATAAAGTTTTGAATGCGAGTCAACAAACGTGATGACATGGCCTTTGACCCGTGATGATAAGGTTAATATGGAACATATGATCTACAAGAGACCTAACCCCCGAAGACAAGAAGTCATTCAGAGATACACTGAAACCCGTAAGAGATACATCAGTGCAGAATTGGAAATATGGATGGGAGGGAAGTAGCAGTGGGATGCTGACTGTAATACTGACATGATCCTGCTACCAAGACAGGTCCTTGAGAAGAGAAAGCAGCAGAGTTACAAGAGACAACAAAGGATCAGAAGAGATTATCCAATGGTTGTTCAAAGTATACTGAAGAAGTCTAATGTGAAATACACCTAGAGGAACAAAAAGTTCCAGAAATGCAAGAGTCAAGATGGCTAGATGTTCAATGTCCTGCAGATGAGTAGAGTGAGGCTAAACCTGACTGAGTCAAGAAATGAAAATGTCTCCAAGGTGGACCAACTAACAAAACTGAGTCAGAAACAAGATGGAATACTTGACTAGTTAATTCAAACAAGCTGCCTCTTGGAGGAGAAGTGAAATGGCTAAGGAGGAGACCTCCCAAGAAGAAGTAAGGAAGAACCAGTCATCTATGTATTAATGGAAACAAGATCCAAGAATGTGAACATGGCAAACACTCTCTTGAGTACAAAAGGAGCTGAAGGAATACTCAAAAATGGTTCATCTGATCCCAGTGACCAAAATGAAGGAAAAAAAAGCCAGGATGAGGCAATTGGAATATGGAGAAAGATGCATGAGATGTCATCCATAATCTGGGGTAAATGTAAAAATGAAGAGGAAAAAAAACCTCTCCATCTTAAACCAAGGAACCACCAGACAGTGGTTGAGAAAAGTAAGAATGATGATGGGACACCAGTTCCCAGTCTTTTTAGGGGCAACAAAAAGACAAGAATAAAACCTTAGAAAAGAGCGAACAATCCTTTTGGTGGCTCTTGTGCCCAGAAGATTTAATACCATGGCCTTGAGACAGTGAAGATGCTGGAAATCTGAAGGAGGAAGAGAGGACAGAGAAGAAAGAGATGAAAAGTGAAGAGAGAGAATATGTAAAAATTTGAATGACCCACCAGTCAGCTGCAAAAGGGGTCCAAAGATCTGCAAACAGAAACAGACTATCCCTATAGAGCCTGAGCTGACTGAATACAAAGGAACACCTACAGGACATGCAACAACCAACCCAAAAGGAGGGAGGATTGCAAGAAGTAGAGAGACAAGAAACAGGAAAAGAGAGAGAGGTGCAGAGTTCATGGGTTTGATGAATGGATGGGGTTTCACAAGGCTATGAGAGAAAAGAAATCAAGGAGGAAAGGGAGGGCTGGTGTTGGGCAGCCTCAGCCCAAGTTTCCAAGGAATGAGGAACATTCCAGAAGACTTCAAAGTGAAGAAAACGATCTATATGAGGTCATGAAGATACAGATGGGAAAGCCTAATGATAGACAGAAGAGTGTCACATCCCCACATCCCAGAAGGTCCCAAGGTCAGAGGAACCAAGTAGGCAGGGGCAAAGCAGAAGATGATAGTTTAGGTAAGGTATTGAAAAGGACCAACCATAGATACCTAGAAAAACAACTGTGATCATGGTTTAGAGCTTCAGATTAAGAGAGGATAAGAACATGGGTAAGAAAACTGCAAAGATGAGAAAAATGAGCACTGGAGAGTGCTACTGAGATGGGGGGGGGAGTCCCCCAAGCAGGTACAAGGGATTCTATGGATCGGGAGTCCAAAAACGAAAAAGAGGAATAGCCATAAGTCATGGCAAAGTACTCCTGAAGTCAAGGAGGGTAAGGCATTTAAATGTGGGAACGAAGCTGACCCAAGAACATGTCAACATTGGCTCATGTGCCTGGAGAAGAAGAAAAACAAATCATCTTGAATGTGAGAATCATGTACTAATGAATGAAAGGAATCAAAAGATACAGATTTGGAGGAGGAGCATTGTCTTCAACAGATAAAGAGGCAAGAAGGTATCCAAGAACCCACTACATGATGAACTATAACAGTAACATCTTCCACAATCAAACAGCCTTCAGTAGTACGAACATCACCAGAACCTCAAAAAGAGGTAGTAGTAATTCTCCAGATCATATATATTTTTGTTATCTAGTGGCAATGTAAGTTGAAATCAAAATTAAAACAAACTAAAAAAAGTTAACACTGTGAAAAGGCAGCACAAATCTCCCAAAACTGATTTGAGCTTAAAGAAACACGTCCATTAAAGACAGTACCGAGGATAAAAATGAAGTTAATTTCAAGTACAAGTGCTACTTCACATGGAGAATGTGTCAGCCTCTTACCTCTTATTGGTGGAGGGATATTGTCACACAATTATTAGATCATGAACTAGCACAGTCACATTATAATATTTTTCTTGGGTTGGAGATCTCAAAACTAGTGACATGCTCAAAATCTCAAAGGCAGAAGTTCAAGGAATAGCTACCGTGAGCAGAATGGTAAGTCTATCATTTTAAAATTATAGATTATTGGAAACCATGATGTAAAAAGTTATTCAATGGTGCAAGTTCACCTGTTCTACAAAGAATCATGGAGAACAAATGGTGAAGTATTCTCAGAAACTGTTCAATATGTCATATTACTAGTTACTGTTAAAGAAATATTCTATATTTCAGTAGTTTTTCAATTTTATTCATGATGTTGTGTGCTATAGATTATGTTTAATGTTGTACATTTTGTTTTATAACAAATCAAAATGAAATTACTTATAAGTTATTGTTTTATATAATTATTGTAATTATTTTTGATAATCAATTGAATAATATAAGTATAGGTATGAAATAAAACTGTGCAGATTTGTGATGTCTTTGAAATGCCAGACTTTACTAAAATAATCAAACTGTTCATTTTTATTTTGGTATATTTCAAATCTTTCCTACACAAATGTATCAATTATGTAACATACTCAGGTTATTATGTTCTCCTTCAATAACTACTCTCATGGGGACTGTTTTATTAATACACTGAAATCTGTAAGATCAAAATAACTTATTCAATGGAAACAGCATATCTCTAAATAATAACTTATGGGTTTTAAAGCTATACTAAAAGATGATCCTCCATCATAAGTAGGAAGACGAGACAAATTGTTGTCTAAAGCCCTTATACTCAACATAGACAGGAACCTATCTAATGTTTGTGTAATATATGCTGACAATGGAAGGTAAAGAAAAAGATCAATGTAGACAAAAGAATGTTTATGTATAAAACGTGAATAAAAGCATGCTAAGTGCACAAGAATTAATCTGTATGAAACTTTTTGGCATTAATGATAATTTATTTTTTTGTTATCCTTGTCCTAAAAACATCACTAAACCACGTGAAATTCACCGATTTTCCTGGTTTTTGTCTGTAAAATATAATTCCTTGATGTTTCCCAGGCTGGGAATGCAAAATATAAAATTCATTGACTTTTCCCCCTACCTGTGGAATTCATGATAACAATCAAAATAAAGCACCATGCTGCATGAAGAAAGTAGATTGGAGATTTAAACACAAAAATATTTTTAATATCAAACTATTAGACTTTCAGCAAATGCTCTTTCTTAAATGTGTATGAATATTCAACTTAAAACTCATTTGATAATGAGAGTTGTGTAAACATTCTAAATATTACACACAAACTTATTTATTTATAGTTCTGTTGTTCTTATTTCTTATTTACTGTCATTATTTTTAATGTATTTTATTATATTTAATTTTTGATCAGTTAAATTTTCTGTTTATATAATTTTGAAAAAGGTACACAATTGTCACACTTTGAATAGTTTTAGATAAGTCATAATATACTGAGGAAGGGCATTCACCCAAAACATTGTATAATTTAATAAAATAGATTTATGAGTTGTCAATCTTTAACCAACTTTCTGTTTATATAACAATGCCTGCATAATTTCAGTGAAACTGAATGTATGTTTCTTTGTTATTCTGTATTTTGAATATCATCCATCCTTAGATCCCAAACTTTGTTTTATAACTTTGGAATAAGATTGTTTTTAACATTTCAAATTCTGGCTATTAGGTATAGCAAACTGTTTAAAAACATCCAATAAAAAGATTAAGACTTACTTCTGGGTTGGTAAGTTATGTCTTTTGATAAGATCTTGCCGTATCTTCTCTCCTATATGTTTGTATATTGTTAGCAAAGTTATATTTGCCGACTCTCGAACCTTAGAAAAACAAACAAAATGTTCTTACAAAGATGCAACATTATAAGTTAACCGATAAAAAAACTATAATTATTCCCTCTGTATTTTCTGAAATACAAATTACATTTGTAAAAATACATAAATAAATACAGAGTAAACTTCTCATTTACAAGTTATTTTACATAACAATGATACAAGATGTGTTCTTCTTTCAAGTCATACATAAATAACAAATATTAGGAGAATATTAATTTAAAATTTTTAAAATCTCTTAAAGCTCTTTTAGACAACTTAGAACATCAATATAAGTCACAAGAATTAACTACTAATACTAAAAAGGGGCAAAATAAAATATGTTAATTAAATCCACATGAGGAAAGATGCAAATCTAAAAATAAAACATGTGTGAAAGCTACCAGTCATCTTCACTTTGACAAAGAGACCTGATTTAATCAAAATTCAAATGGTATGACTTTTTAATACAGTGAGATCTTTTTCAGTTCTTTTTGTCAAACTTTAATAAAAAAAAGTTAGTATTTTACAATACAGTAAAAACTTTTCCACACACTAGCAAAAAACACATAGTTTAAAATACATAAATATCCAATTATCAAAATGACAAGCCTTACAAGAAAACCATTCTACACATTATTTGAGCACGCTTCTTGGAAATTTGAAAAGTTTAGGTACTTATTGTGCATTTATTTTAGTGCAATTTTAACAAATTTGTAAATGCTCTATTTTAAAAAATATTTTACATCACTTGTTCCTCATATAAATATTTTCTAAATTATTCAAAGCACAAAAATTAAAAACACAAAAAGAAATGTAAAAATAAAAACACCACACAGTAAAGTTTGGTCACATACAGCAGTATAAAAAAGAAAAAGAAACCTGAGAATTAGGATCTCCTAACAGCTTTACAACAGATGGCATTAGTTTTGATACTGTTAACGACTGTGCCCCACATCTAGAAAGAAAGTATATACATATACATAATATTCATACATACATACATACACATCTGTATTAAAGTATGACAATGAAAAAGAATTCATAAACTTACGTGTTTTAAAATAAATTTTAAAATAACATAGAAAAATGTCTTTTGGTTTAAGAAAATGATTGAAATCTTTCTTGCAATCAAATGTTCTTTATTAAATGAAAATACTGATATTAAACTGCAAAGTTTCTTACATCTAAAAAAAATGAAAGAACAACAAAATCACAATATTTAATAAAAGAAAATTAATGAAAAATATATCAAGAAATGAAAATCTTACCCATCTAGAACTCCTTGAAGACATACTAGCATTTCTTCTTTGACCCTCCAGTTTTTGTGATTAAATGCTGACATCAGTTTTTCGAACATCAGCTGTTTCAATAAATATGGAACACAAATTTATCATAAATTAAAGAAATTTCTGAAGTATACATACAAAATAAAAAAACATACAGAATTTGCATCATCCTTCATTTTTCAGACAAGTTTCTGACTTATACAAAACAGTAACACATTTGTATTTCAGTAACAACCCGAAGGCTTAAAGGAAAGGACTGGGAAATTTTAAATCATCCTACTCACAAAATAACAAATGTAATCTTACCAGTTGAACAACACTTTTATAAAGTTATTAGAGAAAAAATCTGTCATTAAAATATATTTTAATGTTATTGCTTACTTTTTAACTGTATATTATTTTTTTGTCAAATAAATAATTAAATAAATTTGAAAGAGAAAAAAAAAGGGTTTACTATAAGGTGTATTTACAGTTGCATGTACAGAAAATATTAAAAGATCTTGTGACAAACATAAAACACAGCTGTTTGAAATTTATTTTTAATATAAATAGGTATCAAATATAAAATCATATAAATTACAATTTCTTCATCACAAGGAGTATTCAGGTTATTATTTTTTAACTGGCAACTCTACCAATACAATTTTGGAACCACATCTTTTAAAGAATAGTAACTTAAAAAATGTTTCCTAAAGAGGTAAAACAAGTTAAAATTTTATATACTTTTTAAAAATTACTAAAACTTGTTTTATATACTATAAGAATGAATGGTAATCACACAACTGATGACATTTTTGTGATTTAAAATCATTAATTAATCTTTCATTAAAATATCTTAAGTTCATGAATTCAAGGCACCCAAAGGTAAATTTTTCAATAGTAACAGAGAACTCAAAATGTTCAGTTTTTTAATACTTTATTATTGTTTAATAAAAGGTACATAACATTTTTCTTCCCAATTACTTGAATTTCAATCTCATTCTGGCCTGCTCTTAATAAAAAAATATCTCTGGCAAATTATATATGTCACATTTGCATTGAAAATGGGTGACAAACATTTCACAGGAAAGTTTTAAAATACAAATTACATCTTATTGATTAATCTGACAACTTCACTGAGAAACTTTAAAGCAACATTATCTTAAAATAATCTCCTGAAAAAACAACAAAAAAAAGTCTCCTGAGAAATCTTGGTTGTTGTACACATAGGCTTTATTGTCATTAACATACTAAAAATAATCATCAAGTATGACACTACTATGTTTGTAATTGTAATTACTAAAAATTTGTGGCTGTTTTTAGCTATTTTGTATTTCAAAAATATCTAAATTATCCATACACTTCTCATGTTATAGAAGTTTCAACTGTGATTGATTAGACAAAAATTTAAGGTATACATAAAAGAAAGATCTCACTTGTCTCAAGTGAATTTTCCTAGAGCCCTGGCACATTATATCTTCTATTGAAAAGTTGAAAATTATAATATTACCAAAGCAACTGGTTGGATTCAAGATTATTTCAAGAAGGATGTCAGTTTCAAATGTTTTCAGTGAGTGACAAATTTTGCAGTCAAACTTATGACAACAATGTTACTTATATGAATGTTTTTTGCACAAAGCTGATAATCTCTAGTGCTGAAAGCAAAGCCTCACTGGTAGCAAAGCACAACAAGAAAAGTTTAGTTTTTTTTTTAAGAATCTATTCTAATGCTATTTTTTGCATAGCTGTCTTTACTTTTGAATTGACACACTAGAAGGAAAAAACAACACCTACCCACAACCCTTGAACTACTCTAATTTGAACATATAGAAAGATTTTACCATCACTCTTACAGTGCAACTATGAACTCAAAGTGCAGTTCATGCTATTAAGGAAATAGGCTATGAATAGGAAATCAAATTCTCCAAAATCAACCACTAAGTTACTCTTTTCAAATCAAAGAAAGGTTAAAAGCCAGACATAAAAGAGCATTGATAAACACCTGTGCATTTAAGCATCTTCAAAATCATTGAGTCAAATGAAGAGGTACTAATATTGCGAATGAAGTATATTGATCATTCTTTTAAAAACAGCATCATTACCACAAGTTCATATAAAATCATTACTCTTTGTATTCTTAACTTTTTTTTTAAACTCAGGAATTACAAGTTAAACAGGCCAAAATCCCTAAAATGTAGTGATAAATATTCACACCATTAGATTTGGTAGTATTAATATTTTATGTCTGGTCGTTGAATCATTGAGATAGAAGTTTAAAAAGAGTTCAAAATTAGCACATAAACTGTAACCTATTTTGATCCAACTTCCAAATTTCTTGTTAAAGTTGGCCTATTTCTACAAGGATTTACTGTTATTTTCAGTGTAAATCTAACCAGAAACTTAGATACTTCAGTGTAAATAATAATCAGAAGTAGTTGAAAAAGAGCAGTCATATGAAAATTACACAGATGATCTTTACCAAATGTTTTAGCAAAAGAAACAACAAATGAGCATCAAGATGAGCTTCACAGACATCCGAATCACCAATAACAACCAAGATAATAGCAGCCTTTGCTTTTGAAGAATAATCATCAGAGGAAGCTTTCTTCTTTTCACTTCTAGTTTTCTATGTATTCTTTTTTTGGAAACTCTCTTTGTTCTCTTTACCTTGAGAACTTTCCTTAAATGGATATCCCTCCATTGTCACATTCACATCAACTGTACATGAAACACCTTTTCATTTAACAGTTGCAAGTAACGGGAAACACAGGATCATTTTCTGATGTTTCCATAGTGTTTTATATTCATTTTCTATGCTTTAAAACAGGAAATAGCACAGGATGGCCACAAAGTTAGAATTATAAAAATAAAAACAAGGTTATTGATATTTAGTTTTCAAAGCTATTGTTCTAATATATTCTACATAAATTTGAAAAATGTTCAAACATTACATACTTCAGATTCATCATAAATATGAGACTACTGTCAATAGGTTGAGTCTCCCCATGCAATTGAGAGGTGCACTAAATTACTTTTAAAAATCATGAACTACATAATCTGACCTTACAAAATATTTGAGACATATGGCATCCAGACAGTAGCTCAAGAAATGGCATCAAAGTGACAACACCCCAACTTTTTAAGTTTTTTGCAACAAAGAAATATCAGTGTCTCAAAATGTAAAAAAAAAGGGTAGAAAAAAGCAACTTAAATTTATTTTTTATATATTGTTGATTATGTATTATTGTATTTATTTTTGTGAATTTTGCTGAAGAGAGGACTTCCATCCTTCAAATGACTTTTAAGTTCTACTATAGGTCAGCTTCAACAGTCTTATATCATGAAAATACTTCAACTAAAATTAATACCTCTAAAGCTGAAAAATGGTGTACTTGTGAGAATCAGCAATAAAAGTTTATCATATACTTCTGCACTTTTCATTGTTGACCTTAACATTGCATATGACCTTGACCTTCAATTCAACATATTTGCATAATTAAATAGTACATAGTCAACAATATATATATAAAACCTTTAAATTGTTTCTCTTTCTTTTGTCCCCTGGTGGGACAGCAGAGTTCAATTCCTCATGGCAAACACAGCAGATAGTCCAATGTGACTTTGCCAAAAAATTAACAAAGTCTAACTTTATGTTTTGAGACATTGATATTTCTTTATTTCCCAAAATTACAAAGATCAGGGGGTGGTTGGCACCTACTGATGTCATTTCCTGAGTTGTTGCTAGGTTGTCAAATGTCTGTCTTCAATTTCTTGTAAGGCCAAATAGTGTAGTTTATGATTTTGAAGTGTAACTTTGTGCACCTCTCACACACACACACACACAGAGATCCCACAGAGAAGTAAAGCAGCAAAATATTTGTTGATTGGATTCAAAAACTAAGAATAAAAAGGAATTATCACTGCAATGGATTTATGTTAAGCAAACATAAAAAAATCGATGTGTGTTTGCCATTTGCTACCACTGTGATATACATGATGACTATAAAAATGCTACGACAGTAAGAAGACTAAATTATTTTTGAAATTTTATTTTTGATATAGGATTTACACACCCAGTTATTAGAATAAACCATCAAATAAAAACAGAGAAGTATAATATTGCACTTTGCTTAACTAAATTCAGCATGTAATCTCCAAGAGTTTAAAAAGGTCTTTATACTCTTAATAACGACTCCAGATTTTTTAAACTTCTATGTCTATTTTATAAAATAAAATAAACTTTTGATTCAGGCAATCTTAAAAAAAAACCTTAGTTTCTCTACAGATATAAGTAAACATCCCAGCTGTTAGGTAGAAAATATCATTTCACATTTTCTTTTATATTGGAAGTAAATGTACATTTATACTGATACAACTCTTATTTACCAGGCTATAAAAATATAGAAATGTCAGAATTCACTAGTTTTGAATTTTCATAGAATGTCATGTAAACCACATGCTCATGTTCATTGAGTTTTTTCTTTCTCAAAATACATTCAAGGTCATCTACCACTGTCAAGTCTCTGGCTACTTAAGTGTTAAATAAAGTGTAAATTTACTGTGTTTTGTTTTTAATTTATAATTGGGTAACTGTATTCTTTAATGTTGTATAAGCAGGTGCACAGCTCTGGTAAATTCTCTTGCCTTGGCTAGATTTTAAAGTTTTATTTTTATCAAAGTTACTATTGTTTAGAACATCTACAGCTATTATGACATAGAATTGTTACACTATTGATTTTCCATTGTTTAGAAGTTAGGATTCTTAGGAGAAAGAAGATTTTCATATTGTTGATGTCTAAAATAAGTGAAAAAACAAGTGGTATGACTACATAAGTAACACCTTTATTTAAAAAAAAAACAAACTTAAAACAGGTATACTGTCAATTAATATTACATTTTTATTTTAAATATCATTATAATTAACTATAAGCATTTAATTTTAATTAAAAAGTTTATTTCTCTTTTTATCTTCATATCAATCACATTATTAGAAATAAAGATATAAGCTTTGAAGTTGCTGGATTATAACCTGACTGAGCTGATCATTTACATTAAATAATAAAATTATTTTAACTCTGTTTTACTTATTTAGGTT